GCACTGGAGTCGTAGCGTACACGTGCAGTCCAATTAGCCAGTCAATAAGCCAATTCCGAAAAGATTCAGAAATGTGGCTGCATATAAACAACTTACACACACACGCACACACGGACAATAAGGTGAACAAAAATATTTTTCCAACTCAATAAAAACCTCATTTACAATACACACACACACAGACACACACACACACACACACATACATACACAAAGATAGACAGGCCGACAGGCGGACGGACACGCTTCGACACAATCCGTAAAATTATGAACCAGAAATTTTGTATACGGAGGCCAGCGGTCAGTTGAAAATATTTAATAAAAAACGTGTGAAGAATAGTTAAAACCAATTTGATTTGCATCGAAAAGTAATTGAGCCACAAAAGTTATGAGCGCGCGACGGGGGCACATGTCGGGGCAGAGGCTGTGTGAGAAGGTAAAGGGGGAGAAGGGGGAGGAATAGCCGAATGAAGACTTCAAAAAATATAACGAATGAAAAAACCAAAAATCTCTCAAATCATGCACAATTATTAAAATACATAAACGTAATAATCATATCAACAGGCCAGCATCGGCAACAGCTGCAACAGCAACACCAACAACAGCAACAACAACAACAGCAACAACAAAAGCAACCAAAAGAGCAGCAACCGCGAAGCAAAGCGCGAACACTGAAAAATTAATAAGCAATAAAATTGCCATGAAATGAACTGCACAAATTCCCATGAAAGCGACCGCTCTACAATACACGAGACAGCATGCTGTGAAACGACAACAACAACAACAACAACAGCAACAGCAACAACAACAACAGCCACCAACCAACCACAGCAACAATAACCAACAACTACAGCCAACAACAGCAACAACAACAACAAAGCCAAAGCAGCAGCAACATGTTTAACTTACCGGCTTAAAGTTTAAACGGTTAATTGTACCGTATGCGCTCGCTTAGTCGGCCATGGCAGGCAGGCAGGCTGGCTGGCTGGCAGACAGACAAGCAGAAAGCGGGCAGACAGACAGACAGACACACTGACTGTGAACGAAATGAATGCCAAATCAATTGACACTCCAAATGGTGGATGGGGGAGTGTGGGGAAGCTATAATCGTGCCAGAGCAAAGGATCAATGAGAGAGCAAATGCCACTCATACTCTCACTGCTATTCTCACTCTCTCTCTCTCTCTCGCTTACAGACTCTGCTCTACTCGGGCATAAATTGGCGAAAAATGAACAGAATGTGTGTGCCTCATAATTAGCATAATTAGCAGATTTCGCATAGGTATGCATGTAATCATGTTTTAACAGCAATAAAAGAGTTTTTAGGAACACAAATATCAATAAAAGCCTCTCTCTTCCTCTTCTTCCCCTACAAAGGTACCTCTCCATTTCTACACAACATACTATGCGAGTATACATAAGCATGTTGCTACTTTTAAAACAAAGACACAAAGACTTTCCTTAAACCTGATCGTTTTCATGGCATGCTTTGGAAATAGTAGTAGTTGCTGTAGTAGTATAAGTAGTAGTTGTAGTAATAATAAGTAGTAGTAGTAGAAGTAGTGGTAGTAGCATTAATAGTTGTAGCAGTAGTTGTAGTAGTAGTAGTTGAAGTAGTAGTAGTTGTAGTAGTAGTAAGTAGTAGTAGTAAGTAGTAGAAGTTGTAGAAGTTGTAGTAGTAGAAGTAGTTGTAGTAGTAGTGGAAGTAGTAGTAGTAGCATTAGTAGTTGTAGTAGTATTAGTTGAAGTAGTAGTAGCATTAGTAGTTGTAGTAGTATTAGTTGAAGTAGTAGTAGTAAGTAGTAGTAGTAAGTAGTAGTAGTAAGTAGTAGTAGTAGATGTAGTAGTAGAAGTAGTGGTAGTAGCATTAGCAGTTGTAGCAGTAGTTGTAGTAGTTGTTGTAGTAGTAGGTGTGGTAGTAGTATGTAGTAGTAGTAGTAGTAGTAAGTAGTAGTAGTAAGTAGTAGTAGTAAGTAGTAGTAGTGGAAGTAGTAGTAGTAGCATTAGTAGTTGTAGCAGTAGTTGTAATAGTAGTAGTTGAAGTAGTAGTAGTAGTAAGTAGTAGTAGTAGTAGTAGTAGTAGTAGTAGTAAGTAGTAGTAGTAGTAGTAGTAAGTAGTAGAAGTTGTAGTAGTAGAAGTAGTTGTAGTAGTAGTAAGTAGTAGTTGTAGTAGTAGAAGTAGTAGTAGTATTAGAGGTTGTAGAAGTTTTTCCGAAGTTGTACATATTTATGCAGTGAGACACAGCGAGCATAATAAGCGGTCCTTAAATACCTCTCTCTCGAAATACCTCCCATATGCCTTAATAAAATATCTCATAGCTTTAAATGCATTTCAGACTGAATTGTAGACAATTTTTTGGAAAGCCGTGTGAACTAAAACACTAGTATGTCTAATCGCTTCTGGCCATATTTTCATGGGGACTTTCTGAATATGGGCTTGAAGAAGACCTTTCTGGTTCGATTTGAGGCAAATTCTCTTCTGAATACAGAGGAAGATGATTTCCCAACTTACCTTTAACAACCCTTAAAAACCATATCTTCTATAGACTGAAACAGCGACAAAGATTGGACTGCCTTTTAAAAGTTTATATCTTTCGTCTGAAAATGGAAGTGAAAATCGGCGAAAAACATTCGAATCTGAGAAAAATGTTTAAAAAACCGTCTTATATGTACGAGTATTATTGCTTCTGGTCCCATTTTCTTGGGTTTGGAAATTGACCTTTTGGGCCGAATTGAAAAGATTTAAATGAGATTTTCTATGTAGTGTAACAGCTTCCCCGACTTACCTTTGATAGCTATGCCAGCTAAAGACTAAACAATTTCCAGCAATAAAATTGGAAGTGGGAATATCTTTTCTATCTTCAGAATCTGAAATATCGCGCCCGTCGCATTTAATTTGGCAGTCGTGGGCTTCAAATGGCTGCTTACTTCTAGAAAAGTTATTTTGGGCAGACTTGCTGTCCACGATTGTTGAGAGCCCGCGGGCATTATCTCATCGGTAATGCCCTTTAACTGGAGCCGTTGCCAATAAATATGAACGAATGGCTCGTTCACAGTCGATGGCAATAACTGCCGCGGCGCTCCTTAACGCTTACTCGCTGCAGTTTATATGGCCAGCCAATTGATTTCTTTATCATAATTTTATGCAGCTGCCGACTTTAATAGACGCGCTCGTATTCGTATAATAGGCATGTATATAAATCCGGCGTCTATATTAACTGCACATTTGGCGAAATCCACAGCCGCGCCCATTAATAACCCGTCACAGAAATTTAAAAACACTTTGCCTTTTTCTGTTTATGTGTATTTTTCATGCCATTTATATTTTTATTGAATTGTTTGTCGTTTTATTTGTTTTTATTTTATTATTATTGTTGGTGTTGTGTGGTGTGGTGTTGTTTTTTTGTTGTTGTCGAAGATTTGATCAAGCTCGACAAAAAAAATTCTTTCGTTATTATTACAGCTTATTCGTTTTGTTTTTATTTGTATTCCGTTTGACAATAATTTAAATATAATTCGCAACTGGTTCGTTTATTCTTTATACTTTCAATATTTCAATGGTTTGTGTGTGTTTGTGTGTGTCTAGTATTTGTAATATTTATATCTTCTATATATGTATATATTTATATGTATCTTTTTACAGCATAGTCAAGTAGTCGGGACAAAAAAAATTGGTTTGCTTAAGTTTGTTCCTTTTGCTAAATTAAATTACATTTTTTACACGCACACGCTCCCTTTCACACACACACACACACACACACACACAAACACGCACTCGCATACCCAAAAAAAAAGGACTTACTTTACAATTTTTATATTAATATTTACTTATATATATTATTACATTTAAACGCTTGCATTATCATTTGTTTTAAGCAATAAAAAAAATATGAAAAAAAAAATGGTTTTACGCTAATTAGAACGCTAGTTTAGTCTCTCATGGAACACTAAAAATTAACAAAAAAAATTCCTGCTTAACTCGAATAAATAATATCCCTTAACGCATCATAGGTTTTCAAGTTGGCTACAACTTTAGCTGAGAAACACAACTGCTAGTGAATGATATCTGTAGTATTGATATACGTGTATATAGATAGTGTGGACCTCAAACAGCAGAAAGGGAAATGCAGTTCAAGTCGTACCTTTTATAACTAAATGCTCTCTGAGCAGAGCTCCAAATTGCCAAATCAATATAGGAGTAAAGTGTTGATAAAACCCATTGGAAAATCAAAATATATTGCGCTTCGTTTTGTTCCGTTCCAATGTGAGTGTGAAGATATTGAATAGAAGAACCACTGGTCCGAAAATGATTTCTGTTTAAAATTGAAAGAGAACTCAATCGTTTGCTGTTTCATCAGAAAGTTTGAAGCTTCTTCTTAAAATACAAGTTTATGAGGATCCTTTCTGAAAAAAAAAAAATGCAATTGTTCACATTTCAGCTTCGGCAGAGGCTTGGAATTGGGAACGTTTGGAACGAGGCTAACTCGAAAACGGGAACAAGGTAAAAAAAAGTCCTGGAATCATTGATGTTTGTTTCACTCGAAAATTGAAACGATTGGACTGTGCAGGAAACACTCTGGAAAGCGAAGATTAAGTTCATGTAGAACTTTCGAAAACTATTGGAACTGGAACGCATTCTAACTACAATTTAAAGTAAAAAGAATAGAAACAATAGGCGTTCAGAAATGAAACAAGACCTGAATCAAGTGTAAAGAACTCACAATTTAAGGTTGGAATTGGAACACATTCTGGTCACAAATGAAAATGAAACGAATAGAAATAATAGGCGTTCAGAAATGGAAAGAGACCTGAATAAAGTGTCTTCATTGTGCATCAAGAACTCACAATCTTAGGCGCTAGTAACAAATGTGTAGAAAGCTAGGAAAAAAAAATTGGTATACATATGCCCATTCCAAGCTGCACATCGGCGATGTTATAGCCAATGGCATAGAGATGGAGCATATGGAACGCGGCGCCAACGCTCGGACACGATGCACTGCCTCACGTATTGTTGAAGAGCAGCGATTCGATGCTGAAGGGATTGCTGCGTCGCATGCTGATCGGCGAGGTCTGATGCACCAGATTGGCCGCCGCAGCCACCGCTGCCGCCGCGGTGCTGTGCTGTGTGTTCTGCAGGTTGAGTTGATGAAAAGCTTTGGCGGGAAAGAGCAGCGATTTGTGTGTGGGTGGCAAGGGCGATGGTGGCTGTGTCGCGTCACGCTCCTCCAGCTCGCCAGCATCCAGGTCGGAGCTGGGAGCAAAACCGCCGCCACTGCCGCCACCAGTGCCATTGGTGTGAAGCGACGATGGTGCCGCTGCCGTCGGACTGCCTAAGCTGCCGCCCCCACCAATAAAACTGCCCGCCCGCGAGCTATCGCCGTCGCCGTCCAGGCCGTGCGACAGGCCGTGGTGTGTGGCTCCCATACGGGCGGGACTTACCGCATCGCTGTCCAGCTCATCGTCGCTATCTGTACCGCCCACCACATCAATCTGTATGCCATCATCCTCCAGATCGGAGTCAGAGAATGTGCCATTCGCCTTGTGCTGTGATATGTATTCGGCCTTGAGCGCCTCCAGATCGACCGTAATGCCCTTCGCCTGCAGTTTTCGTGCCTGCCTATCGATGGCTTTGGCCAGCTTCTTGCGTCGTCGCGCTCTGCAAAAAGTCAAGAAGCATTGTGTTGCTTCACTATCCAATAATTGAATTGATTTTGTTGTCCACCCAATTGACTGACTGCAGTCCATCAGAAGGCCTTATTTCCAACCCAATTTAATGATTCCTTATTGATTATCTATAAAGCACTTCTGACTGACTGCTAGCATGTCTTGCTAAGTAGGCTTCACAGATTCGCTCACTTATTTCTTCACTCTCAAAGCCCAGACACTACTAAAGATATGGAGACATCTAGGGAATATTTAGTTATATCTTAGATAATTCACAGACGACTACAAGCCTTTCAGCTTAGCTGACAATTTCTATAACTTTGTTTTAAGATTATTTTTAAACTTGAAAACTAAATTTTTTTTTCAGTTAGGTTTCTGGTAGTATATTCCTGAAGCTAGTATTAGTTCAAGGAAAATTTCGATGTCTAACCATTTCAACTTGCTTGTGAATTTATCTGGACATTTAAACTTGAAATCTTGAGGCGGATACATCGTCTATATTCGGTTAAGATGGTTCAACTAGCTCTGATAGCTGCACGATCCCCTGGTCCTTACTTAAGGCTGAGCACAATATTTGATAAACTACGCAAGAACTCCATTGGGACAGCTTTCTATGGTTGGCTTGGGAACTTACCGCTCCTTGGCCTTCAGTTCGTTGGGCGGTATGGGCTCGCCGCTGCATGTCTGGGGCTGTGCATTATGCGCCGGCCGGCCGGGACCCTTTTTCGTGTGCTCGCGCTTCCGCACCTTGGCACGTCGATTCTGGAACCATACCTATCTGGAACAAAGCGTATAATTTCAGCAAATGTGTCATGTATTGCTCGCCATTGAGTGCTTGGGGTTGGGGTTGGGGAATGGTGTATGTGGAATGGCTATAGATCTTTCCACTTGCAACTAAACTTACCGCAACACGCGACTCCTTGAGGTCCAGACGCATGGCGAGCGCCTCTCGCATAAATATGTCGGGATAATGACTGGCCGAGAAGGCGCGTTCCAGTTCCTCAAGTTGCCAGGAATTGAAATTAGTACGCGAGCGTCGCCGCTTGGCGGCGCTGCTGTCATCATCGCCATCGCCAGGAAAGCCTAAAATCGAGACACAAAGTAAAAAACGTAGGCATAAATAGGGCGACCCAAATGGGAAACAAAAGACCCAAGACATTAATGCCGGCCAAGGGTGTTGGCTTATTAAAACTAATTGCTACAGGCACACATTTACCAAAAAGTGAAAAAAGAACACAAAATACAAACAAATTATTCTAATATGGGGAAACTAACCCCCACACGTGGGACCAGACATTAGATCTTTAGTTTTCGTAAATGGGAATGGGTCGCTGTCGCTTCGCTTTGTTCTTCGCACTAAAAACCCCATAATTAAGTGTTGGAAAATTATTTAAATTAACTAAAACCACAATAACAACAAGAACGAGAAGGGGCAGAGGAAGAGGAAGCACGCCAGCAAATACATAAATAAAATGCATAAATATTCATAATCATATATTTCAATTACACAGCCAGGCCAGCAATAGCAACAACAACAAGAACAACAACAACCATAACAACCACGTCTGCAAACAAGCCAACAACATTAAACCAACAACCAGACCCGGTCCCATATTTATGTTGTTGTTGTTGTTATTAATATTGTTGTTGCTGCCGCCGTCGGCTCTCTGGCCACAATAAAAACGAAACAATTTAATTACGTTTCTATTTGGCTACGCCGCAACCAGGACGCATAGTTTTCTATAAATAGCCAGTGCTGCCGGTGGGCGTGGCTGCACACACACACACACACACGCACACTCACACACATTAATGTATGTATGTATCTGTACACATTGAAATAGAGCGTCCAAAATGCATGCGAAACCCCGCAATTTATCAAATTAACTCCGATCAAGTCGAGCCTGCCTGCCTGCCTGCCTGTCCGTCCGTCCGCCCGTCCGTCCACAAAAACAGAGAGCAACAACAACAAACACAGCAGCAGCAAGCAAAAGGTGTTAGATAGGCCTACAGTGGGGGGCAGTAATATGTTGACGCTTGTGTTAAATGTCAAATATAATTATGCTTGCATTTATAGGCTAAGTTGGTGGCTATTTTTTGAAGTCTTGTGGTAAGTCTATTATACCAAAAATTTTGTCGAAATTAGCTCTAAATGGGAGCAGTACTTTAATTGGGTTTAAGCTCTAAATGGGAGCAGTACATTAATTGGGTTTAAGGAGCGCCATTTAAGTCCGCAATATTTCTAAAATAACAAAGAAATAAACAGAGAATTCCTCATAAAACTAAGAATCAGACAGGAAATTTATAAAGCTAATGCAGTATTAATTAATTACAAGGTACCAGTTCTCAATTATTCGTTTTGTAATGAAACTATGATGACTGAACTATTCTTTGCCTACACAATTTGAGGAACCACACTAACTATATATTAAGAAAATATTGCTCTATTGAGCGGGGTTCGCGATAAAACTGTGTTCAGTATCTCTTCAAATAAAAAAGCAGATTCTTAAACAGTCCTTACTCATGACTGGCAAGACCTACAAATCAAATACAATTACAATTACGAACAAAGTGCCCCACTTTTGTATATTTCGTAAAGTCACTCGATAATTTATGATATTCTCCTAACAATTGGGTGAATTTATTTTAATACAAAACGAGCTTAGGTTTCTTTGTTCGGCTCAACATCAAAGAAATGCGCTATCTTGAAGGTTTATTAGCCACTTCTTTTGAGAGTTCCAATTGCAGAAAGACAAAGCTAGGCCTATAGTTATGCTTATAAGAGAGTCAAGAAAGAAATTCCAAACCAATTTTCATAATAATGCAAATGGCCCTTTTTAAATCTTGGGACCTTACACTAAAGTGGGCCTAAATGCTGTGCTTTTTCAAACGTTTGAACAAAGGAAATGCTGCCCATTTACAAATTAGTACTTGACTATGGTGTTGCAAATCGAATATTCATTCGATTCATTCGCAAGTGCTTGCATGCCACACTCACAATGGACTCGAAGCAGCTATTCACTCTCTGGGATTGTGCTTTTTATTGACACTAAGTGTTGCCATTGAACGCCATTTGTGATGAATCGAATGCATTGAATGTGTAATCATTGATGGCACATTTGAATGGCATAATGAGTGCATTGTTTGTGTGAGTGCAACTATTTATGTGAGCAGTGCTGTAGCTGTAGCTGTGGCTGTGGCTGTTGGGTGCCAAGTAAAGCGACAAAAAACTCGTTTGTTTTAAACGTTCAACGACAGATCCGGAGTCCCGCGGACGGCGGACGGTGGACGGTCTTCAGTCCTCGGTCAGCCATACACCCATGTAAGACTTTGTGTGTGTGTGTGTGTGTGTGAGTGTATGTGTGAGTGTGTGTGTGCGCGTTAATAACTCAATAACAACGCCAAATACACAGCAATAATAGAGACATTAAATGCAAAGAGACAAGCGCGTCGGCCAGACAAAATGCAGGCCACCAAAGGGCGGCTGTGTTGCCACATTTCATGACTCTGTATGTGTGATGATGGTGTGTGTGTGTGCGTGTGTGTGTGTGTGTGACTGTTAGTGCGTTTTAAGGGGCGGTCGCTCGTTCGCTTGCATGCACACAAAGTGCATTCAAATGACTTAATAATAACAGAGCCGAGGCAGCAGCGTCTATGGCTTCAAGTGAGAGTGCACTGCATACACATATATATATATATATATATGTGTATGTGTGTGTGTGTGTATCTGTGTGCTTTTGTGCGCTTTTCTGCTTGCCACATAATTCATGTTTTCGACTGACTGGCGGGTCTGTGATTTGTGCCGCATGCACCACAATACTCACACACCGAGTGAGCAGCAAATGCAAACGATAATTGAAATTTATTATGATTATTGCGCCCACCGTTCTCAGCTTGCAACTTGCAACGTGCAACGAGGCAGCTCGCTGCATTTTGGCAACACAACACCCTCTCTTGCCTGCCCAAAAAAAAGAAAAAGAAAAAATACAACAAAAGAAAAAAGCATCGCCCAACAAATATAAAGCCTCCCAAGCGGCCGCTAAATCACAAAACGAGTTGTGTGCATGCCACAATCACATTCCGTGGCATGTTATTTTCGTTTACGGTGCGCGTCAGACGAGCAATCTAACGGGCTCAGTTAACCCGCCAACCCCCGAACCCCACCAAGAACTAACCCTTTTAGCGCCAAGCCGTGAAGACGAGCCCAGCGAGCCACTCAAGTTCCACAAACAGCCCTAATAATTTGCAGGGGCTGTCTTAATTGCCGTGCACGAGGCTAATACTTAAGCGTTTCCTCAGTAAAATGAATGCATTCATTGTTGCCACATTCATGCACTGAATGCATGCAGCACATGCCAAAAACCAATTACACCTTCTACACAAATGCTGTTGAGAAATTTCACGCCATTAACCCCATAAATGTTAGCTATTCAATTTCCCTTACCTGCCGATTAAATGAGAGTGTGACTGCCATGCCCCAAAAGCCAGTCAGATTATGGCAATGCTACTATTCCTAAACTCGACTACTATTCAGCAGGCAGCACTAAATATTTATTAAATATCGAATCCTTTATTAGGTGCAATGCATTCATAACTTGTTACCCATTCAATTATTCAGTGTCTATAGCTTGAGTGAAGGTCAAGAGAAAAGATTCATTTATTGATTCATTGCTGTTCAAATTATTTGATTGTAAGCTAAGGTGGCTGAGAATCCTCGTCCTTTACATTAGATAAAAGCCCTAGGCAGTAGCCCGTTAGTATCCCAAGAGACATTTTAGTTTAAGAAGTGCTGTGGTTCTTTTAATGTTCAACCTTGCTTGACTGCTGATTTCTGTTCTCTCAGAAGCCTGAATTTCAAGCATTTTTAAATATTCAAAATTAAAGAAACAAAAAATATAGTTCTTTATTTTGTACGCCTTTTGCTGAATTGCACTTTTAAATAGAAATATGTTTGAAGTATTAACCGTACTGATTCATAAGCCAATGTTTCTATTTGGAACCGAATGTTAACTCGAAAATATATTCATTTGATTGTATTTTCCAACAGTTCTATGATAAGTATATTAATATTTCTTGTTGACTGCAAATTGATTTGCTTTTTTTGGCTTTTTTTGGCTCTTAAAAGTAAAAAGTATTTAAAGCTATAGATTCATTGATTCAGTCAATGATTAGCATTAGCTGCTCAAGTCAAAGTGGTAGGAAGAGTGTTGGAGGGTTTCTTCAAATAATTCCACGATTCAAGTGTTCAATAATAGTTTGCAAAAAGCAATAAAATCTCCTTAAATAATTATCATATTTAATTAACATTCAATTGTTTGCCAGTTAAATCGAATATATACACTTAATTCCTCTTAATTGTGGATGCAATCGTGAAACTTGAATGCCTTTAAAAACTTTTGGAAACAGAAAAACCATATATTACTGAATTTGAAACCAACTATATACTCATAAAACACATTGTTACCAAATCAGTCGAGGATACTGTTGAATGCAATCCGCATTCTCCAGACCAAGTGTAGAGAAGGGTTCTATAAAAATGATGAAATTATTGAACTGAAAAAAGTCGAGTGATTCAAAGGCAAGAAAGTGGAATTACTATTGGATGTTGAATCATCTCTGGCTCCCATATCCATGTCCAATCGGAACGCCACACAAATCCCATTACAAAACGGAAATATTTAAAATTTGATAAGAGATTTGGGCGAAACAAACTAAAATGAAATGAAATCTATTTGCAGACAATGATTTATCATCGGTCGGTCGAACGGTCAGCTACTCAGTCACACTCTCTAGAGCGAAAGTCGAGCAATGCCTTCACTATGCATGGACACTTCCGTTTGTTAAGCGGAAGTCGTGCGCTCGTGTGCCTCTCACATTCTCAAATTCATTACGAAAAACAAAAAGTCGCAAAACTGAAAACTGAAAACAACAATAAGACATGAAAAAACAAGAAACAAAAACGAAAACAAAATGGCGCTAGGCGCTTGCCGCGCAACTAAAAATCGCATGATAAATGATTTCGATCGTTTTATGACAGTTTTTTCATTTCCGGCATGAAATGAGCTGAGCCAGCAACCAACCTTCCAGGCGGGCAGGCAGGCAGGCAGGCGGGCAGGCGAAAAGAAAACGGAGCACGGCCATATGAATGATGATGATGATGGTGATGGTGATGTACGAACACTCGTATAGGCAGTGAGTCGGAGTTGAAGTTGAAGTTGAGGTTGAGTTCCAGTCGAAATGTTAGTCACTTGTCAACCGAGGCGACGAGCGGCCGCAAAATGATTAATGAGAAGTGCAGAGTCAACTCGAACCCGAACCCGAACCCGAGCTCGTCATTGCCGTCGCCGTCGCCCTCACCCACCAACCATTGCCGAGCCTAATTCCGCGCCAGCGCCCGCGCCCACGCCCACGCCCGACTCAAGACGCATGCAATCTGCAATCTGCGCTTCATCTCCCCATCTCCCCATCTGCCAGCCCTGCCTCCCTCCCTGCCTGCCTGCCTCGCCACGTCATCCTATGTGCGAGTATCTTGTCGCTTTGTCTGGCTAATCAAATTAAATCAAATCAAATTAATAATTACTTTTTAAAAACGGCAATGTGGGAGACGCGGTGTGCGGAAGTGGGCGCTGTCTCTCGCATGTGTGAGTGTGCTTGTCTGTGTGTGTATGTGTGAGTGTGTTGGCTGCAATTAATTAAACTGCTGCTGCTAATGTCGACCTGTCCCCCAACACCAGCTCCTGGGCCTGGGCCTGGCCTCAGTCCCAATCCCGATTCCACTCAAAAGTGCAGTTAATTACAAGCAAAGAGCAACGGGCCGCCTGGCCACGCCCCTTGCATACGCCCCAGCACAGATATGGAACCAGACATATCACTGCGCACAGTCCGGGCATAGGATATATCCATTATGGCCATAATTACACCAACTAGCCATCATTTGTTAATGCTAATTGGCCAATGGGCCGACGCTAAAGCTCCGAGCTTCAATAACCAAGCAGCTGCCACTGGCCAAGTCGGCCAAGTTGGCCAAGTTGATTAGCCAACTAGTTGGCCACTTGGCCAGTTGGCTAGCTTGGATGCTAGCCAAGATTTTGCTTTCTCTGTTCTGTTACGGCCGGCTGATGTTTATTGGCCAAGTAATCGTTAGGTAGCAACAGTCCGTGATCAACAACAAAAAACATGGCCAATGATTACAATTGAGCATGGCTCGGACGCATCAACTTGAAATCGGGGATTAGGGGAATGATAAGCCCGGGATTAACGACTGGACAGTTGATCACAGAGAGCCTGAAAGGAAGAGGCAAGGCTACAGCATACTTTTGCATTTCTTTTTTAAGCCAACACTACGAGACAACTTTTTCGCCAACTCCGCTCTTTCAGTCTAACAGTCTGAGTTTATTAAATAAAGACTGTTAAAGATATATGTATTCAAAGTTACTGATTACATTTTAGAAGATTATCCTGTGCTATTAATATTATTTTGATTGATTCACCAACAATATGTCAAGTCTTTGGCGGCAGTCTGCATTTATTTCATTAAGAAAGATATTTCAAGATGAAGATCCGGACAAGACAGTTCTATTAAGACTGAAAAGAAAAACTAAAACTATCATCGTTGTGTCAAAAACTCAAGAGCCCTTTCGCCATCTCTAATCGATGGCAACCATCTGGATTTATTCTACTAAATGGACATATTAATAATAAATAATGGGTATCATAGAAACCAGAAACAACTGATGCATGAAAGCATTCTCGATAATATTCAGAAATATAGATAGAACGAATCGACATCGATAGATCAAAAAACATCATCATCATCGTTAGCTCAACAATTCAAGGACTTGTCTAATTTTGTTAACGCACAGCTCTGTTTTGGATTTGGATAAAAACATCTGTTCCCAAGAAGCTATCTTTCAAATTCTTACTCAGTGTCAAGAATTTTGGAAAATATATTTGCAAATAGCCAGAAGATTTGTTATACCTTTGGTCTTTTTTACACGGTTTTGATTCAACACGGTTGGAAAATTAAAAATTGTCTATTTTTTAATTTATTTAAGATAACATATGATCAATGTTTTTACACGTTTTTTTTCTTCTACACGACTTTTTCTGGAACCAATCCACCGTGTTAAAATAGAATTAGGTGTATTTGCAAATATTCAAGTGATTCCAAATCGATTCATATGCATAGTTCTAGTAACAAAGATATCTGTTATATAGAATGCATTATCTTCTGATTGATCTTTCAAATAATAGTTCTATTGAAAGATGATGAATCGTTAAGTCGCACACACACATGAATCGGTACGATTACAATATTTTAGAGTTCCCACAGTATTTAATTGACAGATAATTGTTTTTCCAACAGCAGAACAGCACAATTAGATCTGAACAGCAAGAAATTGGATAATGAATTCATTTCGTAAAACATACAAGTCTGTAATCCATAAATATAGTAATGATGCCATTATTAATTGGATTCTTTAAGTCAATTTAATTTCGTCTTCGTAATTAGTCGCTCAATTATTCCAAATCAATGCTGCAATCCTACCTGGCTATGTTTTCCTAAGCTGTTTACCCATTTAACCCATTTAGAAGTAAGGGCATGGGGCACAGCAGGTTGTCGCCACCTGCTGTCCAGCGCCTCTGTCTTCGGTGAGCCCAGTAAGTATATGCGAGTCTGTCTAAAAACTGAACGACCTACTTTGTATGCGAAAATCAATCGATCCTCTTTTACATATTAAACGATCGCTGATTAGCGAAATCAATAAAATTGTTTTCAAGTAGCAAAAGTCAAGCGAATGCGACAGCGCCAGCAAAACTGACAATCGAAAACATTTTGCGCCTGCTAATTGAATGAATTAGCATTTATATTCACGATCGGGAAGAATGGGGTATAGCTGACCTCCATTTTGTTGGCGACGCGTTGCGACGTCAAAGCAAATCGGCGCGTGTGTCATGTAATTCATTAGCAGATCAGTTTTTGTGAATCAATCGATTCGACTCGACTCGACTCCACTCCACTCAATAGGCTGAGCCAAGCAAATTGAAATGATTGTAAATAGAGACGTGTTTAATCGGATCAACCGGATCGAGCATTGGCCAAACCGTGTTGGTGATAGCTAGTGTTGAGGCAAATGCCATTTCCATGAATAACAAATTGAATTAACATTGTAAGCGTTGTATGGCAGTGCGGAGGAATGTGTTCGAATCTTGTTGTGATTACTCGTACTAGTTGCTTTGGTCGTCACACACGTGTTCCTGATTAAAATGAATATCAGCGACAATTACATTAATAATACTACATAATAACAAAAACAGCAATTACACAAGCTAGCTGTATTTAGTTGCCTTTGCATGCTGTCGACTGCCAATATGTGAATATGATTCACTTAACAAACATACAAGCTGAATACTTTGGAATTCAAAGTAAGATCACATCCTTTCATCGCACAGGAGTTTCTCACCTATTATTTGATTTCTTATGCATGATACGTTGAATAAACGTAACTGATTCGCTACCCTCAAGTGCTTCTGTTGAGGGCTATTTTTAGATAGTCCTAGTAATATTATTATTATTCTTATTCATGGGCATATTTATAAACATCATTCATGGGCATATTTATAAACACGTATGTGAACATCTTGCTTCGCTCAGTACCCAAACTTTAATTGTTTGTGATTGTTTATATGAAACTACCAATCCACTTTGGAATAAATACATTTGTCTCTATACACTGAACAATTCATGTATGCATTATTCTAAGCTCATCTATAAGTTGTCTAAAGACGGATTTCATGCACCTTCAAATCGCACTCCTTTCGCATTTCTTAGCGAATATCGTATTTGAGTTGTCGCAGAAGATGAATGCAAACATATTGACATTCTATCGGGCAGGGATACTCAATGGCCAATGATTCATATGATTCACACTTGATTGCCAACCAGCCCAACAGTTTGTTTCAACTAATTATCCAAAGATATACTTAGAGTAGGCACATAAATCGTATGTAATGCTAATTCTACATGGAACTTTAACTACTTTCGCGATGATTCATCTGATTCAAGTCGATTCAATTAATAGGTTATGGTTACAGCTTAAATATTAGACTTACCACCATCCTCGTTGGATCCCTCGCTTGGTGGTCCTGCCGGTGGCAAACTCTGCCGATTGCCAATCATCAGACGATGCTGTATGGTTGCTACCGTGCTGGCCACAGCGACCGCAGCCGTTGTCTGCACCGCCGACACATTACGCAATGCGGCAGCGCTCAGTCCGGTGAGATTCGCGAATGCGTTGCTCGCGTTGACGGCCGCCATTTGGGTGGCAGCCGCTGCTGCGGCCGCTGTGGTGGGATGGGAACCGCCGGCGCCCTCAAAACGCGGGCGACCGAGGAACGGGCCATTCGGTCCAAAGACGCCGGGGACGCCGAACTGGAGGAAGGGACCCCAGGGCGGTACGCGAACACCGCCGGGCGCCAATTGAGCGGCGGCAGCATATAATTGTAATGCGGCCGTCGGATGCAGTCCCTCCGACGGCATGGCGTTGCCGGCGCTTAGTTGAGGAGGCGTTGCGTGGCCGAGACTGAGACTCTGATTGAGGCTTTGGCTGCTGGGATTGGGATAAGGATGCTGGTGTTGTTGTTGTTGCTGTTGCTGCAGCGGAGAGTGTGGATGTTGCTGCGCTGATGTTGTTGTTGTTGTTGTTAGTGTTGTCCTTTGGCGTTGTCGCGTTGCATGCAACTCGTTGTTGTCGTGCTGCTCCTCGTTATTGTTATTGTTGTTGTTATTATTGTTAATATTGTTATTGTTGTTGTGGCTCTGCAGCTTTTTGTGAGCCGCTGCTGTTGCAGTTGCAGTTATGGCTGTTGTCGAAGTGGCTAATAAATTGTTGCTATTTGCAGTTGTTGTTGTAACTGTGGCTGCCGTATTTGTTGTTGCTGTGGTTGTAGTTGTCGTTGCTGTTGCTTGTCGTTGCTCCAGTACCATTATGGCCTCACTCTAATGTTGCTGCCTTGGCGTTTGTGGCCATAAATATAGAAAATCACTGGACAGTTAAGTAAGGAGCACACAGACACGCACACAAACGTAAACACGCACACGTACCACAACAGAAGACACACACACACACACATACACACACAGCGACACACAAATGCACTTTAATTATTATTTATTTAATAATTTCTCTCTTTCTCGTTCTCTCTCTTCTTGTACGTGCTCAAAAAAAAGTCACTTGCGCGTTTCGCCGTCGGCCGGTTTAACGACAATTGCAAAAGAGTCGCGTGCAACAATTAAATGAACAGCAAACAATTTGGGGGAATGCAGAAGAAATGTTTTGGCTAATTTTGTTGTTTTTATAATTTGTTTAAATTGATGTTTCATTTATTTATTTTGCTGCCTTTTTGTTTATTATTTGTTTTGGGCATTTGCCTTTGTGTGCGTGCGCCACGCCGACGAGACACAAAACGCAAGCGCTCGCAATGAAAATTCAATTTGAACTGAGCACCGATGAGGACGCGCCAAGCCAAGTAACCCACGACGGAGTGCGAGCTGTGCGAGCGAGAGAGCACACGAGCAACGGGAGCGAGAGCAGCAACAACAACCACCGCACCAAAACCAACCAGCACGCAGCAAGCAGCACAGTGCAGAGAGTGGCGCGGCAATTGGCAGCGACAGCGACGCCGGCAGAGATTGTTGCCATATTTAGTTCGGGGTGTGCGAGCGAGCTGGAAATTCATCAAAAAGCAACAACCACTTAATTTTTATATGCGCAGCGTCGCCTGTTTCAATTTTTGATAAACTTGCGGTACTACGACGACGACGACAACAACAACAACAACGACTACGAGCAGACGATGGCAACGAGTAATTCATTTAAAAGAAAGCTCTCCATCTGTGCATGTATATTTATGTGTACATATGTATTGTGTGTGTTGTGTTAGTGAGTGTGTGCCGTACAATTTTCAATATGGACGCTCGCCTGCCTACCCTGTGTGTGAGCGAGACAAACAGCTGTGCTGTGCCTTGCTCCATTGGCCAGCAAATAGTGGGAATTTCATGGTGAAGACGCTGGCGACGCCATTGCCAAAAACGACTTGAACTTTTCAATTTTCTTTGTATGCGTGTGTTCGTGTCTTTCATTGTGTGTGTATGGGTGTATATGGGTGCGTGTGTGTGCGCTTGTGTGGCAAGTTTTCCAGGGCGGAGTTATGCGACATTTTTCAATTTGCACACATAAAATTATTGCATATTTTTGCGCGGTCGCTGCCAGCGTCGCTGCTAGCCTTACAACAAATACTTATAGCCATAAATGGCAATTTCCAGCAATAGAAAATGAAAATTCGTTAACAATTAATTAACTTAAATTGTTGTTGAGCCAAGTAGTAGAATAGGAAGCTAGCAGCAACCAATTTTTCAATTAAGATAATTCTAGGAAACGCGACCAACAATTCCTTAGCAAATATAACTAAAAATTGTGTGCATGTGGGTGTGAGCGAGATGGCCATAACTGGTACAAGCTGCAAATTCACACACATACACAAATACGCATATGTACATACACACATACGGACCATGGCGAGCAATTTGCTTTTAATTTGTTAACATAAACGCCTCGACTGAATCGTCGTTGGAGGCTACAGCGCGCATGAATCATGCACTTTATTAGGCGGCGCCGACGTAGGCGTTGGCAATACGTTGCCGTCGACTGCAGCGCCAGCATTCCCATTTAACCCATTTTATGGCCAAAAATGCAAGACAAACCCCCCAATCTCCCCCCACCGACCACCGAATACTGTGTGCGGCTAAGAGCTCAGCAATCAATGTCATTGTTTGCTGCCGCCGCGCTGCTGCTGCTCTGTTGCGGCGCTGCTGACTATGGTTGAAAGGGATGGGAAGGGAGGGAAAGGGAAGGGGGAAGGGGAAGGGGCCGGTTCTGGTGTGGGTGTCTATAAAGCATATTTTTTCGTTAGTCAAAAGCCAAGAGTGCAAAGCCAACCAGAGCAGCGACTTTTGGAGCCTGTCCTGGGGGTTGCAGCATCGTTTGACTCTCGTTGTTGTTGTTGTTTCTGTTGTCAAATGTTTTGTTAGCTGCGTTGGCAGGTTACTTAATTGCTCTTCTTTCTATATATCTCTCTCTCTCTCTCGCTCTCTGTGCTCTGTTCTGCTCTTCTTCCTTGTTACATATAGTATGCACATGTGTGAGTGTTTGTGTGTGTGCTCGTCCTGGTGTTAATTTTATTAATGACATACAAAGCCCGACCCCTCCGCCGCCATTTTGTCTCCCACTTGCTGTGCGCACAGTGTATGCAAAAAAAAACTGATGAAATAAAAATAAAAATGAACAAACGCATGACATTTTTTTTCTGTGCTCTCTACGCGCCCCCAAAACTTAATTAATTCCGCTACAGTTTGTTGCCAAAGTTTCTCTCTTCTCTCCTTCTGGTCGGTGCCTGCGTAATTTGTATTTCTCCTCTTTGTTCGCAGCGCCCCAAAACCATAACGGCAGCTAGAACAGGGGTGAGTTGGCAACTCTGGCTGGGCTGCTGCCACAAATCGAATGAATGAATTTTAATTATTTTTTTGTGTGTTGCCGAAAACTTTCGCTTTGTGCAAACTTTTCGACTTGCACAGGCAACCAGGTGTGTGCGTTTTTTTCGGATAAACGCAAGCATCCATACACTTAGAGAAAATACGTTGATTTGTTTTACGAGTAATTGTGAATATTTAAACTTGACTTTGTTTTAAAACATTGTATTGTACTTAGTAGGATGAGACAGACATTAGCCAGAAGACTCTATCAGCCATAGAAGTATATTTCAAGCCTAGACTAATCCAGCTATTAAGGTAGAAAGCTTGTCAATTCCATAACGCATTCCAGTTTATTTTATTTAATGTCAGTTTATTTGAATTAAATTGTAGTGTTACTGACTAGAAAGGCTTATTTTTTCTACTTCTATCGATTAATGTAAGTTCTATTGATTGGGAATTATCGGCTCAGCGATCATTGTAATTGCGCTGCATCTTAAATTTTCGGACAATGATGATTCGTAATACAAGTACTCGTACCCCTCACACTCATACTCGTGCCCGTACATCGCCAAGAGTAAGGTTTCGAATAAAACAACTTAAACAAATATTAACTGACTGAACTCATTACTCACACACAAATATCCATTCTATTGATATGATTGATATATTGTTATGTTAAATGATAGTAAATGCTTTAACAAACACCCGGACAGGCAGATTTTGATGAAAAGCAGCAGCATTGAGGTAAAAAACAATTCAAAAACTGCCTTAAACAAGAAGGTTTATCTACACATTACTCACCTCGTCTCCATTCTATCGCGCATTTATGTGTATTTTGAACGTATCAGGAATAAATATACATATGAATATATTTTTTCATGCTCGAATTTTTCTTAGTGTTTCTGAATTTTGTTACTCGCACTTGCCTGTATGGCAGCAAAACTTTTGGAGTACATTTACATAACGCGCACCACTGGGCAGAGTACAGAGGTGTACAACCTAGAAGGTGTAAAATACGGAATGGGGAATTGTGAGCCATGTAGCTGCTAAGCTCCGAGGGATATGTGTGGACTCGTATGCCCACGTGGCTGGTTTTTCAAAGAATCGCGTGAATATAGGAATTAATTTATATGTCAAAGTATTCTTCCTTTGCTTAAAGGTAGTTGCCAAAAACAATTACTCTGCACTTAAACAATGCGAAGAATGGAACAAAATCATAGTTTTCCGTAAGTTGGTTCGAACAGCAAAGGAAATCCCGACCAACTCGTAACGGCACTTCTTTCCGATTCAATTAAAATTCATAGATGGTTTAGTAGTATTGGAGAACAAGATGGAAATGTTATAGAAAATGGAATGGAAATTTCTCAATTGTGGACTTAATTGAACAAGTTTTTGAACATTATAGGAGAGTCTCTATGAGAAACCAGACAGACCCATAGACATAACCCCCACACCTAATTATTTTTAATTTTATATCATAGCCAAGAAAAGTGCTACATAATTAAAATATAGACAACTTCAAGGCACATTAGTGATCAATGTAGCTAAGCCCACCAATAGGCCGATGTGGATGGATTTGCCAGCATAGTTGTATAGTAATGGTTTGTTCAATTAAGTGCGGAGAGCGACGAGCAACAAATACTGGGAAATTGCATGGCATGTGCACGAAAATATTGGGTAATTTAGCTGCTTAGCGACTCTTCTCTGAAGCTTCAAATACTGGACCGAGGCAGACGATTTGTCTGCTTTTCTGATTCTTAGCTAGCCTAGCTAGGGCTTCTTAATAAGTACATATAAGAAGTAATGGAAATACTGTCTTCTTATGCATCTCGGTATCAGTCGAATAACGAAGAATTAGATGTGTTGTTATTGTATCCCGGGGGTCGGAAATACGGCTAATAATCCTAGCAATAAGCTTAAGTTTTTGATTCGCAGCATCAGCTTTTTTTAAAGGAAATATTGGTGCTCATCTGATGTATTGGAAGACATGATTGCTGCCTAACAGGCTA